GAGCTAGAGATTGGGCCTGCCCTCTGCCACCCGAGAGCAGGCCTAAGCCAGCAGGTTGTTATCTCCCGAGGGGTCCCAGACTGCGAGAGGGCACAGGCCGGGCTGAGGGACCCCCCCTCCCCCCCCCCCGCGTGCACAAATTTTTGTGCACCGGGCCTCTAGTCACTTATATAACAAACTGACATTAGGAATGTATACAGAAGGAATCAGTTATTCTGAGGTTCTCTTTAAAGAGTTTTTCTTCTGCCTCAGGAGTTTTTATTGTGTAATGAATTAACTTCTGATAAGATACTATCTACTTGATTGAACATCATTTTATTAACCATGATCACTTTCCAATCACCTATCTAATCTAATAAAAGAGAAACATGCAAATTGACTGCACCTCCGCTACGCCCCAAGCCATGACCACCAGCCAATCAGAGCGAATATATGCAAATTAACCCAAACAAGATGGCGGCTGGCAGCCATGGAGCTGGAGCAAGCAGGAGGCGTGGTTGCCCCTGTGATGGAGGAAGCCAAGCTTCCCGCCTGCCCTGGCCGGCTGTGGCCTCTACTCAAGGCAACAAAGTTTCAATTATAGAAGATAAATAAATCCCAGATACCTGCGTCCAGCCAGCCTCCACTGGGAGCTTGGGTGGCTGGGGGCTTGGCCAGCCTGCAAACAGCCACCAGTCACTCACCCAGTCTGGCCAGGCACCTCAGGGGGGACCCCTACCCTGAAGGGGCTGTGGCCAGCCTGAAAACAGCCATCAGCCACTCACCCAGGCTGTCCTGGCACCCCAGCAGGACCCGCCTTCCTGAAGGGGGTGTGGCCAGCCTGAAAATGGCCCTCAGCCCCTCACCCAGGCTGGCCAGGCACCCAAGCGGGACTCCCACCCTGATCTGGGACACCCTTCAGGGCAAACCAGCTGGCCCCCATCTGTGCACCAGGCCTCTATCCTATATAATAAAAGGGTAATATGCAAATTGACCCTAACAGCAGAACGACTGGGAATGACACACATTGACCATCAGGCGGCAGACGCTCAATGTAGGAGCTGCCCCCTGGTGGTCAGTGTACTCCCACAGGGGGAGCTCTGCTCAGCCACAAGCCAGGCTGATGGCTGCCAGTACAGCGGTGGTGGTGGGAGCCTCTCCCGCCTCCTCAGCAGCGCTAAGGATGTCTGACTGCAGCTTAGGCCTGCTCCCTGCTGGCAAGTGGACATCCCTCGAGGGCTCCCGGGCTGCCAGAGGGATTTCTGTCTGCCAGCTTAGGACCGATCCCCCAGGGAACGGGCCTAAGCCAGCAGGTAGTCATCCCCCGAGGGGTCCCAGACTGCGAGACGGTACAAGCCAGGCTGAGGGACCCCCCGAGTGCACAAATTTTTGTGCACCAGGCCTCTAGTATATATATAAAAGCCCAGCGACCAGAACGGCGGAATGATCGGAACAACTGGTGGCTATGATGCGCACTGCGGGCAGCAAACCAGCCTGATCCGGGCCCCGATCGGCCGCCAACACCCTGATCAGGGGCGGGGCTGGCTGGCCAAGTGCCTGCAGCCCCTCCTCCCACCAGCCCGGCCCAATGAGGCCCCATTGGGGCGGGGCTGGCTGGACCCCCTGGACCCCACCTATATACAAATTCGTGCACCAGGCCTCTAGTAGGACTGATATTTGGGGAGAAGAACCCTTCTCACTGTGCCTTGGGCTCAAGGTTATAATCAGGTTTCAGCTGTCCTGTGTTTGGGGGCATATTTGAACTATCTCAGAGACAGAACATTGCCGTGGCCATTGTACAGTCCATGACAACAGAGGAGCTGAAAATTAAGCTAATTTCAAAGGGTTAGCTTTCTCTGTTATAAAAGCCAGATAACAGGCTCTTCTGTTACTGAGAAAAGCTAGGAGACTAGCTCCTCGGTTTGAAAATCTTATGAAGGCATTTAAACTCAATGATAAGTCATAAGTCAGAGGGAAAACTATTCAACCCTTTAGTGAGGAGTTTAGGACAACCCACTTCCCCTGTAGGACACTCACAATATCACTTACTATGTAACTGGTCTCTCTTTGGCAAAAACACTGTCCACCAAGGAGTTTAATGGCCAAAAAGGTTGGGTCAGGTCATCTTTGTGTAGTTTATCAGTTTGACATTCCTTTGTTTTACTTCTTTCTTATTGTCAACACACCACCCTGTTTTATTATGCCATAGAAACCCCAGAGAACCAGAATGGCTGACCTGTAAATACCACAGCTGATAGGCATTTAGTGCTATCAATGCCTAATGGAGATAAATTTGCAGATGAACAACTAAATATATCTATTTTCCAGGAGTGTTTTCTATTACCCCAAAATAAAACAAAAAATCCAAACAAAACCAAATGTTCTTACCTTCTATTTCCCAAGTGTTTTAAGGGATAGGTAGTATGGATTTCTTGGCATTTTAACTTTGGAATTCCTCAGTACCATAGAGTGGATGTTTGTTTAGCATCCTGTTTACTAGAATACATTAATCTTTTATTTTAACCTAACATTTGTTGTTCTTGATATTTACTATGGAATTGGATATTTAAGAAGTTAACAAATTTGTCCCATTTCTGTTTTTACTATAGATTTAGAATGGTGTCTTTCATTGGCTTAGAGAGGTGCTCTTAGAAATAGATGTAAATAGGGTTTTTACAAAATGTTGTGTCTTACAATAGACTAGAAAAATGTTGGTCTACTTTAGTGTTCATATAGAGCAGGTAATGATTTTGTATAAATATGATTTTGATTCCCTGGATATGAGTTGGGGCAAAGAATCTGCATACCTAACAAGTTCCCAGGTGATGCAGGCCTACAGTTCCATGAACCACACTGAGTGGGGAGGGTCCAAAGGAGTGTACTACTTAAAGTATTCCAATTCTTTTATAACTTAACAACCTTTTGTAAATCAAATAACCCCCTAATTTATCTGTTTAAAAAATGTATATTTAGTGCATAATGGAACACACTCTAGATACAAGAATTACAAGGATATTCAAAGAAAAGAAAGGTTATACAGTCAATAGAAGGGCAGAGCAAGAGTGTGAGTGACAAAGAACTCTGAACTTTTATTGGTTACTTAACTGAAAAATTTTGGGTGAAAACATAACATTCACAGATTTCTTAATGAAATACACAGCTCTCTTTAAAATATTTTTTTAATATATTTTACTAGAGGCCTGGTGCATGAGATTCATGCACAGGGGGGTGGGGGGCAGTCCCTCAGCCCAGCCTGCACCCTCTGCAATCTGGGACCCCTCGGGGGATGTCCAATTGCCTCTCACAATCCAGGACCACTGGCTCCTAACTGCTCGCCTGCCTGCCTGCCTGATCGCTCCTAACCACCTCTGCCTGCCTGCTTGATTGCCCCTAACTGTTCCCTTACCAGCCTAATCACCCCTAACTGCTCTCTTGTTGGCCTGATTGCCTCTAACTGCCTCTGCCTCGACCTGCACCTGGGACCCAGGATTCCCTCCTCTGGCCGGCCGCGGGCACCCAGAACCCGGGCCGGCTTCGCCCGGGCTGTCCACAGCCACCAGCGGCCGTGGGCAGGTGGCTTTGTCCAGGCTGCAGCCGCAGGTGCCCAGGTCCATGGGGTAGGCAGCTTGTACCTCTCCTGGGCTACAGGTGCTGGTGCAGCTGTTGGCGCCCGGGACCACGGGGTGGGCGGCTTGTCCCTCTCCTGGATCGCAGGTGCAGATGCAGCCGCTGGCATCTGGGACTGTTGGGACCATGGGACATGCAGATTGTCCCTCTCCCAGGCTGCAGGTGCAGTTGCTGGCGCCTGGGACCGCGAGGTGGGCGGCTTGTCCCTCTCCTGGGCAGCCACCCCAGCCGCTGGCACCCGGGACCGCAGGGCATGTGGCTTGTTCCTCTCCCAGGCCGGGTCACAGGCACAGGCACAGGCGCAGCCTCTGGCACCCAGGACCACAGGGTGTGTAACTTGTCCCTCTCCCAGGCCACAGGCGCAGGCGCTGGCACCCGGGACTGTGGGGCAGGTGGCTTGTCCCTCTACTGGGCCGTAGCCCCAGCCGCTGGCACCCAGGACCATGGGGCGGGGAGCTTGTCCTTCTCCCGGGCTGCAGCCTGGCTGGTCCCTATTCCTCTCTTGGGAGCTCATTTGTGCCTGTGTGGTCCCCATTCCTCTCTCCCCAGTGTTGAGTGTCTGAGCCGTTACAGCATGATGACCACTTGCATATTAGCTCTTTATTATATAGGATTGATTTTTTACAGAGAGGAAGGGAGAAGGAGAGGAATAGAGAGTTAGAAACATCGATGAGAGAGAAACATCGATTTGTGCCAGCAACCAAGGTACATGCCCTTGACCGGAATCAAACCTGGGACCCTTCAGTCCGCAGGCTGATGCTCTATTCACTGAGCCAAACCGGTCAGGGCTAAGATATTTTTTATGTCATAAGTAATTAAGTATTCCAATTGTACATAAAAGAGAATGAGAGTTTATTTAGATAGAATTTTATTTTCTTTCTTAAATAATTTAAAGTGCTATCCAATATTTCTGATGTGGTTTTATTATATCCAAACTATTATATTTCATCTTTAGTTTGTTAGGAAATGGTACTCTTTGCCACAGGGACTCAGTGTGGCATACAGTAACAGTAATACACTATCTTTCTCATGCGGAGATGAAGTGACCTGCCAGTTTCCTTTGAGCTGTGTTTCCTTTAGAGTTGATGAACTTTACATGAATCCACTCATATTCTTCTTCGCTTGGCCCCCTCAATAATCATAGATATGTGTACAAATACTGTAACTATGGGAGAGTCACTAGGTCTGTGGCCTCTGCCATAGATGCATTAACCAGATAAGCTCACCACAGTTTTCATTAAAGTGATAGATTTGAAATGATTTTAAGACAGCTTACTTGGTCTTGCAGCCAACTTTCTGCTTAACAGCATTAATCTAAATTTCCTGATGGAATCAGGAGATGGGAAGCCCAAGCATAATGGTAGTAATGTGCTATCTGGTTTGTTTTCTTTCAGACTTTCGGCCAGTTTGCTATGAGGAACCCCCAGCACTGGTGCTCAGTTGCCTACTATGAACTGAACAATCGAATTGGTGAGACGTTCCAGGCTTCCTCCCGAAGTGTACTTATAGATGGATTCACAGACCCTTCAAATAACAGGAACAGATTCTGTCTTGGACTTCTTTCTAATGTAAACAGAAACTCAACAATAGAAAATACCAGGAGACACATAGGAAAGGGTAAAAGAAATATGTAATTTCTTTTTCTGTTCTTCTGAGCTAAAATATGGAAACAGAAACAAGCCATTCATTGGCCATGTAACCTATTGGGATGGCACAGGGATGGGTTTTTCTGCCTATAAAATGGGCATGACATCTTTTGCGGGGTAGCATAGTGTGCATATTATGAAGACAAACAAGATGATAAATGTGAATACAGGATGAAATTATTAAATAAAAAGATTGTGGATTATTTTTGAGTTGCTCAAAGAGGCTAGATAACTTCTGAAGAAGAATAATTCTGGCTGGTTGATCATTTATATAAGGTAAAGTTACCTTTGGAAACTTAGAAGCTAGGGAGTTAAACATCCTGACTTATTTATCTTTGGAAATGACTGGGGCTCTCCTGTGTCCAGGCATTGTTACAGCAGCCCATGGCACAAGCCTCACTGGGGTCTGGCCAATGATGTTTTTGAAGCTTCCTTTATTGGCAGAGTCAATGGCTGAGTGGCAGGCCTGGTTGAGGATCTTTAAATCATTTTCTTTTATTTTAGAATAGTTGGTAGTGCCTGAGTGATACCTGGCTGCCCACTATCATGTCAGACTGTTCTGGAATCACAGGTGTAAAGAAACTTGAGAGCCAATTGATCTTTTCTCTTCCCATCCAGCACTCAGACCAGTTAGGAAAGGAGCCACATGAGCATTTTCTTTCATTATTTAATTTGGTGATGCATTCTAATATTCTTCCTAACATACCTCCTGAGTGCCTCCTGTTGTAGTAAATGTACAAGTCATAGATTAAAAACATTCATTGAATTCATTCATTGATGTTTATGAGATGCCATGTCCCGCGTGGCTTAGGGTTCGGGGTCTGGAGAAGGGCTGCGGGCAAATGACGAGACAAGACAAGAAATAATAATTTGGAAATTTGGGGGGCCAAGCGGAGAGTCCAACTCTAGGGGAAGGACTTCGCTGGTGCCCAGACCCTGCCAACCTTTTATTCAATTTTAGATACACATATTGTCCTTGGTCAGGCAGGCAATTCCGGTAACAGACAGACTGTCTTAAAGGTCAGTAAATATTAGTAAAGATTTACTTTGAGACTATTTGGTCAGGAAATTGCTTGAGCCACCATTGTCTTGTCTAAACAATTGGTGCATAGCTTTGGCCCTTGCCAGAGCTCAAGGTTCACCAGCATTCTGGGCTACTTGTTTACACTTTTCTGATAGTGAAGACAATGGGTAGCATCCAACATTGCCCCCTTTTCACTTCCTTAATAAATCTTGAAAAGTGAATGCCACCTGAAGGGTTTGAGTCCTTTTAAACCTCTTCATTCTGCATCTTCGGACTAGAAATAAACATAAGAACAAGAATGAGACAAGCAAATGTAAGGAGATCCAGTGGAAGGGATTAAATTCTTTCATGTCCTTTTTATTTATTTATTTATTTATTTATTTTTATTAAATCTTTATTGTTCAGATTATTACATTTGTTCCTCTTTTTCCCCCCCATAACTCCCCTCCACCCAGTTTCCACCCCACCCTCCTCCCTCACTCCCCACCCACTGTCCTCATTCAATGGGGCTTTGGTGCTCACTGAGTCTGCCCCCTGAGTGTGTCCTTTATGTTTCCACGGAGCTGCAAACTGGATGGTCCCATTCTGACCTCTGGGCTTCCTGGCTCCTGGATCTCTAGGGAGGTGCTAATCTAGCCTTTGCCTGAGGCTATCCAGCAAAAACCTCCCTGCAGGGCTTGGGCGGGGCAGGTCCCACGGGATCAACAGGGCAGGGCTAGCAGTTATGGCTGCTCTCAGTCCTGCCCTCAGAGGCTTTGCTTCTCAATGTCCCGGTAATCGCTGCAAGCCCCTCGGAGAGAAAGCTGCCCTCGAGTTCCGACTGCTGCCAGACAGTCCCGCTTCTCCCGTATGAGTCTGGGTCCCTAGAGACTTGCCCGGAACTGGAGCTCAGAGCCTGAGACTCCCTCCCGATTGAAAACGACAACCGCGCCCTCAGCCGCCAGCCCGCTCCCCATGCACCTCCGCACCTTAGTATTTTACATCCGCACTGCGCCTCCTCTGAGTCTCAGTATGCTTTTCTCTTTCCTCCTAGTTGTAGAATTTCCACTAAGCCAGCCTTCCTGTGGTTCTGGGTGATGTCCGTTCTGTCTTTTAGTTGTATTTTTGAAGTGGTTGTGCGAGGCAGCAATCTCCGGTGTTTACCTATGCTGCCATCTTGGTTTCTCCTCATGTCCTTTTTAAATTGCTACCAGGCATCCAAGGAATTAGTTTGTAAATTTGCCTGGGATAATTGTACAATATGCTGTTGTAATTCTAAATATCAAGGGTTGTGTTACCTTTACCCCAAGCACCAAGACGGTGATTTTTTTATTGATTCCCAAGGGTGTAAGGTACTATTATAGGGAACTGGGGTAACACCAATCTGGGAAAAATTATAATGACACTGTAAAGATATTCTTTGCTCTAAGCTGTGGATTTTATCACCCATCCACAAGACTATAGACTTTAGTGCCCACAATTCAATCTCAAACTGGCTGTCAATTCTTTTTTGTATCGACAATGTCTTAGTTACATTTTTCCTTAACTTATACAAACTGAGAAGTTTGAACAGTTTGTACCATGGATGAAGCAGCAATGCCCACAGAAGTAGGTAACATTATAAGGGCAAAGAGTCCTGCAATTAACATTCCAAGAAATCTTTTCTGTCATTTTAAGATTTTTACAAGATCATGTAACAGTTGGTAGGTTTGATGAAATTCCCAAGGCTCGGTTAGGTTAGTAGGAACCCAAGCGAAAGCAGACTGTTTTAAAATCATGAGGGAATCTTTTTGGAATGTAGAATTAATACAATGGGATAATGTGCAGCCTGTGCATGACACCTCATACAGATGGCTTGTAGCATTAAGGGTCACCTGGATGGGGCCTGAGAGGAGTACAAATGGATCAAATACACAGGCGGTGGCAAATACTGTCTTATTGGGAGTTCCCCATAAGGTACAAGTGGAGTTATCTGAGCTATAATTAAAACTATACCATTTAATAGGTGCAAGTGCAGCAGCTAATTTCCATTGCATATTTTGTAGGGGCCAATTGTCATGTTGTAATTGAGATCGAACAAATCCTTCTCCATGCCATGAAATGGAGTGATTAGCTTCAACATATAGATAGGAAGCGTTCCCCTTTCATTTTAGGGTGCTATTGTTACTATGCGCAGACCCGTAGGGGCTCCAATCCACAAAGAAAAAACTGTTATTAAGTTTGCTGCTGGTGGGGTAGTCACTATAACAGTCTTGCCAATTAATTTCTCCCTCAGTGGGGTGCCATTCATAAGACTTTCTACATAATGGCTTAGTGGTGGTGAGGGGGGCGGGTGTCTTAGTAAAGTTATTTTCTGTACCTCTCCCCAGAGTAAGTAGTGATAGTAGATGTATTTGGGCATTTGCTTCCCTCTCCTTTGGTGTCCATGCTAGCCAGAAGCCTCTCTTTAATTTTATGCACAAAGGAGCAGTGGTTTGATTCTGTGTCATACAAAAGGCAACACCCGTGTAACTATACTTTGCCCATATACTTCCTTGTCCCACTGATGGTCCTCCTGGGTGACCAAGGTGCTTGGTATTATTGGTGACTACATTAGGCAGGGGGTCAGCCCACGTAGGGGGTCTTACCCATGGTGGGTCAGGAACATAAGTCCAAAATACTTTCCCATTTGCCCCTGGTAGTATTACTGCACAGCTGATGACTGCTAGCAGGGTAAGAAAGACATTCTCAGGCATTCTTGGGTTTTGGTCTCCTCACAAATTCGCTCAGCTTTCTGGACCGTCTTCTTCACCATCCCCCAGGTGACCTCCGGCTGTTTGTCATCTGTTTCATCCTCCTCCCACTCCTTATCTTCAATGGGTTGCTTGGGCCTGCTGCTATCTGCGGCTGGGGTAGTCGATTGTCTGCAGCTGTAAGGCATGGCTCCAGGTGCAAGGTCCTCATTAACCTGGCCAGTTCCTCCCTTGGATCCATGTTGAAGTTTAATATTTCTTGCAAGAATCCACACGGGCTTCAAGAAATTTTCTGGAAATATACAAGCGTACCCTTGACCAAATGTTAACAGGGGATCGGGGCCCTTCCATAAAGCAGACTTGGGATCTTTCCATTTAACCAGTCCATTTTCCTTTGGCTTATTCTGACACCAATGTATTTCCATGAGTGTCTTGCCATCGGCATCACAAGTGAAAAAATTTAAAGTAATTAAGGCTTGGTGTAGTCTACCTACAGATGATTTCTCCATAATCCTTCCTTACTGTTTTTCAAGTTGGGATTTTAGCCTTTGATGTTGGCGTTCTATAATTGCCTGTCCTTGTAAATTATATGGTATTCCTATAATGTGCTAAATTTTTCATTTTTTTTATATTGTTTTATTGCTTAAAGTATTACAAAGAGTATTACATATGTCTCCTTTTTTTCCCCCCCTTGACATTCCCCTGGCCTCCCCCTACCCCCCAGTGTCTTGTGTCCATTGGTTATGCTTATATGCATGCATACAAGTCCTTCAGTTGATCTCTAACCACCCCCCCCCCCACCCTCCCCAGCCTTCCCGCTGTAGTTTGACAGTCTGTTCAATGCTGCTCTGCCTCTGTATCTATTTTGGTTCATCAGTTTATAATGGTCTTTATTATCCATAAATGAGTGAGATCATGTGGTATTTTTCTTTCATTGACTGGCTTATTTCACTTAGCATAATGCTCTCCAGTTCCATGCATGCTGTTGCAAATGATAAGAATTCCTTCTTTTTTACAGTATTCCATTGTGTAGATGTACCACAGTTTTCTAATCCATTCATCTGCTGATGGGCACTTAGGCTGTTTCCAGATCTTTGCTATGGTAAATTGTGCTGCTATGAACATAGGGATGCATATATCTTTTCTGATTGGTGTTTCTGGTTTCTTGGGATATATTCCTAGAAGTGGGATCACTGGGTCAAATGGGAGTTCCATTTTTAACTTTTTGAGGAAACT